TGGCTCCCACATTGGAATAGCTCGATGGAAGGATATCATCATCATCATGATTATTTTGATCAATGGCACATTTGGGTCATGGATAGTTTGAGTATGTCCTTCCTAATAAGGGAATGCAAATTATGCAGTCAGTTTCATTATTTATGTCATTTTTCAAGAAAACACTAGCATGCTATGAGAACTACTTTAAAAATCTGTGTGTAAATTTATATGCAATAAAAGTCACAAAAGTGGAAGTCTGCAGTCTCACAAGGGAAAGTTGATTAAGGAGTGAGGGTATCTGCATTTTCATTCTGGTTTGCTGCCTGCTGCTTTGTGACTTTGCAAAGACATTTTATCTACCCAAACTTAAAATTTCTATCTGTAAGATGGAATAATTGGAGGAAATAATTTCAGAAGTCTACTCTAAAAGTTTTATTTTAACCATGGTTATTTATATTCAGGACCAACCGCTGGAATGTACCTCCTTCAGAGTTAGGAATAGTCAACACACAGATAAAAAAACTCCACTGTTTGTTTCTTTAGCTGTTTCAGATTCAGTATCTGAAGTCTTCAAAAAGCAGTCATGGTGGGAAAAAAAGTCCAAAATAAGGATTTGTTTATATTTTTAAGAAAAACTAATTTTTGTTGTTATGAAAGTTACGTGTATTACATAAAACACAGAAAACAGAAGTCTATCAAGAAAAATAAAAATCACCCACTAAGCAAGCTCTCTTGTAAAGCTCCCCCCTCTTTGCCCAGGATAATCATTCTTCACATGAAAGCATGAATTTCTTAGAATTTTAAATATATATGAAACATTAAAAAATTCATAATATTTAATATTTATTTTTTCACTTAATTCTGTACATTTAATGAAATCATAAAGCATAGATAATATCATTGTACTGAACAGCTGCAAAGTATTCACTTGTAAAAATGGATTAATTTATTTACCAAATTTGAAACAATGAACATTTAATATTGCTTGCAATACTTCATTACTATAAGCAATACTTTTTGGATATTTGTTGCTTAGTTATGCTCACATGTGCGTCTGATAAATTTGTAGAGATTGCATTTCTGGTTAAAGGAATATGCACATTTCAATTTTTATATATATTACTAGATTCCTCCCAGCCCCGCAGGAAGCTTGCCTGTATAGATACACTCCTATCTATGTATTAAATTATCTATTTCTGCATCCTAAGCATTGGGCATTATCATTCTTTTAAATCTTTGCCAAGATGGTAGGTACGTGAAAAAATGCTATCTCATTGGTCTTTTAATTTATAATTTTATTCTTTATTACTAATAAAGTTTGCTGTATCTTAGTGTGCTTATTAGCCAAAATGGTGTGTTTATTTCTTTTTTTAAAAATTTTAAGAGCTCATTCTTTCATAAGTCTATAAGTGTTTTAAATTTAGTTTAAGAAATTTAGGCAAAGTTGAGGAATTTTATCTGTAAAATGTAGTGGCTTTTATGGCTTGTGATTTTGACATTATATTTACAAAATCCTTCCCCAGTCAAATATAAAATTATCTATCAAAATTTCCTTATATAATTTATTCAATTTAATTCTTTAATCCATTTGGAATTTATTGTGGTTTCTATAAAATGCTTGCATTTCTTTTTAATCACTTTTATCTAGACTCCTTGGATTCTATAGTTACCTACGTGTGGTTGAAGAACACCTGAATCAATTAAAAACCAGTAATAAGATACAGTGAGTAATACTTCAAATGCTCACCTGACAGCCAGACAAGTCCCTGCACCCTCCTGGCTGGTCGCTTCACATCACAAGGGGGAGCTTTCGTGCTTTAGTAAATACATCTTCTGTTATCAAGGCCACTCCTCTCATTTGTAGTTTTTGTCCACCCTGGACTTATTTTTCTCTTGATCAAGCAATAGCAGTGTGTTGAGGTGGTCAGGAAAAAAAAAAAAAACAACCTGAAAAAATAGAGCTACACAAGACAAAAATCCTAAATGTTAATCTGTATTAAAAATATTTTCCTTTGTGTATAAGAAAGAGATTTAAAATTTTCTTTCATGATTCTCTCATTTCCTAAACAATTATTGTAATATATTTAACAATGGAATTCAGATCTATATTTAAAATTACGGGCTTGAATGAAAATAAAATTAGGTATCATATATTAATGGGGATTTTTTTTTTCTGTACTAGTGTTGAAAGCCAGTATGTGCCAGAGATCATATAGTGGCTATTAGCAAGGATTTCTCCCCACTTTATATTTATTTATCAGTTGGTCAAATTGTTCCATAGATAAATACGTTTCAGTTTACTTCCCACCTCTTTTTGTCTCACTCCTTCGAGGAACTTTGTTATCTATATATTTGAGTTCTAAGGTGAGTAGCAAGGGTAATCCTATTGTGGCTAATAATCAGTAAATTTGCATTTTTCTAATTTATTTTTTTAGTACAATTCAGAATTCTGTAGCATTGTATCTCAAGTGGAGGCCACTTGCATGTGTCTGTCATTTGTACTTAACACCACAAGAAATAGGTGCTGTCAAATAGTTTCATTCTCTGGCTGTGAGCATATGCATTTATGAATGTTTGGACGATAGAGTGGAAATGCGAAGTCCTCTTAAAAGAGGGTAAAAAGGCTCCCAGCTACTCTTAGAGCACCTATCCAAGGCTAAACATATGGCCTTGTCATCACAATTTCCCACATTCCCTTTTTTGTGGTTTGAACCTTCTACTTTATTTATTACCAGAAGGCCTTATCTCTCTAGCCTGCTGCTACAGACTGCTAGGCCAGGATGTAGTGAAAGCACAAAGTAATGAAACAGGGATGATCATAAAATAGAGAGGAAATGGCCAGAGCCTCTGTCTGTGGTACAGCTGCCCAGATTTTGTAACTTGAGCCAAACCATGCTAAAGAAACATAATGTTGCACAGTGCTGATCAGGCTTCCATTCCTGTTACATTTGGTATCACCAGAAGACCTAAGACTTTGTGAATGTCAAGTCTTTTCACAAACGTTCAGGAGAATTGTCAGCCAAAGGAAGGGAAAGACAGCTAGAGGACCTCAAATGCTAAGATGCTATTTAAAGGGCAAACAGCACCTCAAGTGAAGAAATGTCATGCAGGTGAAATATTTAAGGGGCTCAAGGTGGAGGACAGTGAAGAGGAGAAGCAATGAATACTGCTTGATGATGTGGTATTTCATGACTTTTTTTCTTCCCTGTGTAGCCCTTAGCAACCTGATCAAACCAGAGCCGCATTCTCCCTGATAGGTGACTGACAGGTGGTTAACTGCAGCAATTTGGATGACAGCTTAGTTAGTGTTTTCCAAAATTTGGTCCAGGCCTGGCCAAACCCTGTGTGTGTTGTACTTAGTGCCAGGGCACCTTGGGGAAGTTTGTGTCCGTTCTTTCGTTCCCCAGGTGGAGCACAAGGGGAAGTGAGAAAGAAGAATTTGACTCAACCCAGATGCTATACACAACCATCTCCAAAAAAATTCACATCTTTATAAGGCAGCTTTAAGGTTTCTATAACAATCATAGAGCAGTTTTAATTCTCTGATTGAAAAAGTTTTTATAATGATAATATATATGGTGTTCATAAAGGATAAATAACTGATAATCCTAATACACAATTGATAATAGTGTGTCGATTGATACTCCTCTCATTGTGGAGGATAATTTGCCAATATCCTGTTGTAACTGAAATGTATTAAATCCTTTGAACTAGCATTCCACATTTAGGAATTTATTGTTTTCCACATTTAGTATTTATTATGGAAATACTTATATACGTGAATAAAGTCACATGTAGAAGATGTTGCATTACTGTTAGTAGTAAAGTAACAAAATAATCCAAATGTCTGTTAAAATAGGAATTAACTTACCAAAATAGGAATGCTAACTAGTCATTAATAAGAATGAAGTAGAATCATATATATTTAGATTTTTGAGATCTGCCACTTAATATCTGTGAGAAATTGAACGAAATAACTGTGCCTCAGTGTTTTCGTCTGCATAATGGACATAACAGTAGTATCTACTTCATAGAGCTTCATGAAGCAAATAAATAATACATTATAAACTTTTAAAACATTTTCTGATACCTAGTAGATAATAAATGTTACCTCTTTACAGTTATTGTCCTCTATTTGCATGGGAAAATGTGCAAGATAAATGAAAAAGGAAAGTTGCAAATGAGTATGCATAATACAGTCCATGAAAACCGTGGAGTGATATTAGTTATACCATTGATTCTTGTTGTCTCTGGGGAATGGAGTTATGATGGCCTTTAATATTTTACATAATATATTTCTACATATTTGAGGGTTTTTTTTTTTTTTGAGACAGAGTCTCACTTTGTTGTCAGGCACCAGGCTGGAGTGCAGTGGCACAATCTCGGCTCACTGCAACCTCTGCCTCCTGGGTTCAAGCAATTCTCCTGCCTCAGCCTCCTGAGTAGCTGGGACTACAGGTGCACGCCAACACGCCCAGCTAATTTTTTTTATTTTTGGCAGAGACAGGGTTTCACCATATTGGCCAGGATGGTCTCAATGTCTTGACCTCGTGATCTGACTGCCTCGGCCTCCCAAAGTGCTGGGATTATAGGCTTGAGCCACCACGCCCAGCCAATACTGTGTTTGAGTTTTTATCTGTCAGTTTTTAGAAGAAGCATTAACGGCCTGCAGTGAATGACCATCCCCACCGCCTCATGTTTCTTGGCTCTTACAGGGAGTTACCATGACATTTCATATGATCAGAGGAGCTGGTAGAGTTTGAGGTAGAAGAATAATGAAAATAAAGCAGCATCTCTCATACAAATTGTGGGAAAGAGCCAGCTTTTCTTTTCATAGACTTCAATTTTAGGTTCACAACAAGATTGAGTGGACTATACACAGATTTCCCATATTCCCCTATTCCCATACACACACAGACTTCCCGACCTTCAACACCCCACAGCAGAGAGGTGCATTTACTACAATCAATGAACCTATCTTGACACACCATTATCACCTAAAGTCCATAGTTTACTCTTGGTGTTCAGTTTGGTATTGTACATTTTATGGATTTTGTCAAGTGCATAATGACATGTATTCACTGTTACAATACCAAACAGAATAGTTTCACTGCCATAAAAAGTCCTTTATGGACCATCTATTCATTCCTTCTTCCCTGTTAACCTCTGGCAACCACTGACTTTTTACTGTCTTCATTGTTTTGCCTTTGCCAGAATGTCATGTAGTTAGAATCATACAGTATGTAGACTTTTGGATAGACTTGTTTCACATGATTATATGCATTGAAGTTCCCTCCATGTCTTTTCATGCCTTGTTAGTTTATTTCTTTTTAGCACTGAATAATATTCCATTGTCTGGGTGTACCACAGTTTATTCATTCATTCACTTACTGAAGGGCATTTGGTTGTTTCTAAGTTTTGGTAGTTAAGAATTAAATGCTATAAACAATGTGTGGAGGTTTTTGTGTGGACCCAAGTTTTCAGCTGAGGGTCTTTTTTTTTCTTCCAGTTTTCAATCTGTTACAGACCAGTAGCTTGTTTTAATGAAATAAAATGAATTAGCCTAAAGAAACAGAAAAATGGCTACAAAATACAAATTATTGCTAGATTCAACAGACTTATAAACTGTCAAATTGGTATAAAAGTCTCTAAAGGCTTGCTCTGAATTTCTGTATGTCATGTTGAGCCAGAAATAGTTGTTGGCCAGTCCCAGTCCACAGATTACACTTGAGCAGATTTACGTAGGGAATTTAGAATATATAAGGAAAGGAAGATTAGAGAACTCCATCCTTTGATCTTGAAAACTCCGTACTTAGCCTGCAAGAATCAGCTGTGAGTCTTTTCTGACTTCTCCAGTCTGGTTGAGCCACCCCTTCTTTGGCTCTGAAGTGATGCTTGCAGTGCTCTCTGACTGCTGATTCCCATGCCTTCCCGCCTACAGAAGGCTGCTTGAGTGCAGGTGCCAACTTCATAGTCCCAATACCTACCACAGGCAGGCACACAGAAGACTTTCAATTTATTTTAGTTAAATGAGTAAGTAGGAAAAGAAGTTGAAATTTAAAAGAAAAAGAACAATTATCTTTGCCATTGCAGATTGAACACATCAAATAACCAGTGGAGGAATCAGATAAGTGATAGACACTTAGGAGTTATAATCATACAATGATATTAGTATTGGGTGAGACAACACATAACTGTGATTTTCAATTGTTACTGTGTACCAGACTCATGTAGAGGGCTGGTTTGTCAAGCAGATTGCTAGGTCCTATCTAAGAGTTTCTGATTCAGTAGGGTTGAGATGATGGGGACTAATAATTTTTGTTTCTAATTTCTTCAAATGATACTGGTTTCAGGACCACATTTGACAGGGAGAGAGGGTGTGATTAAGAAAGAGAAGAGGGCTGAGAAATGAGGTCTGGACATAACATTTAGAGATCGTGTAGATGAATTTGAGCGAAGGGCCACTGAGGTAGGAAGCAATTTAGAACATAGTGACATAGAAACTAAATAAAAAGATATTTCAGAAAGGAAGAAGCTTTTTGTGGGGAAAAAAGGAAAGTGAATAGTTCAGTGAAGAGTGGCTCTGTGAAGAACCTTGTCCCAAGAGATTTGGGAATCACTTGCAAATTCTATGTCCACAAATAGCCTTTTTGATTGGTTGGAATGGTATTACATACTGATGTCTCATTCCATCTTGTCATTGAAATAATAGTATATATAAACTCTGGTTATAACAGCTCCTTCCTCATTGGTATGTTGTAAACCAGAAGAGTTTGAATTGGGAGAGGAATCTCAAGGTATTCATAGTACTGTTGGTGTTACACTGGCATTGCCCAAAGATGGCCAAATAAACGTTGCCAGCCCTACCTGTAAACCAGCTTTCTTCCCACCTACCCATTGACAGTATGGTTTCTGCTTTATTTCTGAGGATGTCAGAATGATGTTTTTGGGTTATGGCTACTTACCAGTCCCTTCCTATATCAGAGGAACAAGAGAGCGCTAGATAGTCTCATTCCTTTCACTCAGTTTAGGTGTTTTTATTCTAAACATATGTGTTTTTCTTTTCAATGGTCATGATTCCCTGTCCTGCCAACTGTCTCATACTTTTAGCTTTATGTGGTCACAGGAAAATTCTTTGAAATCATTAAGAATATGAATCTACAAGGATCCCCAACCCTTTTTCTGATTACTTTGCTAAGCTTACTTTCAGTCATTTGGCAATTGGATTAATGTTTTTCTTGCTTTCATACAGGTGTAGCTGACTAAATTTCAACTCTCTAGTGTTTAAAAGTACTTTTATATGAATTTCAGTCTTTAAATCTTTGTGCTTTTCCCCCAAGCCCCCATTGGATTGTTAACTCATCTTAAAAATTCTCAACCAAAGAGGAAAGTAAATACATCTTTCCATGCACCTCAGTCCACCTTGAACCCCACTCCCACTCCATTTACACCCCATTCTCCAGTGTGCCATGTACTTTCCGGTCTCCATGCCCTGACTATAGTGCTTCCTCAGCCTAAAAAGGAAACTTTGCCCTTTAAAACAAAATTCAAAAGCTCTCCCGGCTTTCTTCAGTGCCTCAGTCAGAATAACGTTTTTCTTCCCTTGATATTTCTTCCCCATTTTGCTTTAGCGCTTATTCAAATTCATATGTACATAAACACACATCTATATGTATGGTTGTGTCTGTGTATTTATATATTTTCTTGGCTAGAACAGAATTTCCCAAATTTAATTCAGAGTAGATTACTCAGGATCTTTGCTTCAGACGGCATAACAGAATCCCTAAGACAGGTTGGGAGGCCAAGGTGGACAGATCACCTGAGGTCAGGAGTTCCCAATAAGCCTGGCCAACATAGTGAAACCCCATATCTACAGAAAATACAAAAATTATCTAGGTGTGGTGGTGCATGCCAGTAGTCCCTGCTACTAGGGAGTCTGGGGCAGGAGAATCGCTCGAACCCGGGAGGCAAAAGTTGCAGTTAGCTAAGATTGCACCACAGCACTCCAGCCTGGGCAGCAGAGTATGAATACATCTAAAAAAAAAAAAAAAAAAAGCCCTAAGACAGGGCGATTCTTATCAATTGAGAAATATTGATCTGGCATGCTCTAAGAGGAGGATCCACTGCATACATTTTAATGGACACATGGCATACAGAGTTGGAACTGTGGTCAGAGCCGACCTGTGAATAGCTGGAGTAGCTGAATAAATGGCAATGTGGTACAGAAGTGATCTCCAAATATTTTCTTTTTTTAAAAAATAATTATTATATTTATTAAAGCAGGTAGCGGAGCTGATGGATTATGGACAGACAGATCGTTTTCTTTACCTTTTTTTTTTTTTTGAGACAGAGTTTCACTTGGTTACCCAGGCTGGAGTGTAGTGATGCCATCTCAGCTCACAGCAGCCTCTGCCTCCCAGGCTCAGGCACTTCTCCTGTCTCAGCCTCCCCAGTAGCTGGGATTACTGGCATGAGCCACTAAACCTAGCTAACATTTTTTTATATTTTTAGTAGAGGCTGGGTTTCACTATGTTGGTCAGGCTGGTTTTGAACTCCTGGCCTCAAGTGGTCCTCCCACTGCGGCTTCCCAAATGGGATTACAGGCATGAGACACTGCACCCAGCCTCCCAAATGTTTTCCACACAATTATATTACGTATATTTGAAGTAACCATCACAAAAGTCATTTCTTTACGTTGAAGTCATGAGATCTTCAAAAGGCCTTTACTTAAATGCAAATACATTGTTTTGTAGTAGAGTTTCAGTTCGGATTAGTTATCAGATTAACCCTAAAGGAGTGGACTCAGGATGTAAATTTAGAGAGTGCAGTGAGACCACTCATCTGAGGGCAGACAAAGGAGATTGAGAGATAGTGTTCCACATGCCAGTGTAAAGACTTTAAAGTTAACAGAATTTGGAAGGAGCTGCATTAGAAGGACAAATGTAGAACTTGATGGCCTATTAAGGATGTTGTGAAGGGCCATCTCAAACTCTAATATTTGATCCTAGTTTATGATACATAGCCTGTAAGTGTGATCTTACCTTCTTTCTTCTTTCCTTTTTTCACATTTCTATTTTTTATTTTATTTTATTTCCATAGGTTATTGGGTAACAGGTGTTTGGTTACATGAGTAAATTCTTTAGTGGTGATTTGTGAGATTTAGGTGCGTCCATCACCTGAGCAGTGTACACTGAACTCTATGTGTAGTCTTTTATCCCTCACCCCCTTCCCTTCCTTTATCCCTGAGTCCCCAAAGTTCATTGTGTTATTCTTATGCTTTTGCATCCTCAAAGCATAGCTCCCACTTATGAGTGAGAACATACGAAGTTTGGTTTACCATTCCTGAATTACTTAGAATAATAGTTTATAATCTCATTCAGGACACTTCAAATGCCATTAATTCATTCCTTTTTATGGCTGAGTAGTATACCATTTTATATATATATATACATATACACATATATATATACACATATATACACACATATATACACATATATATACACATATATATACACATATATATACACATATATATACACATATATATATACATATATATATACACATATATATATATACACACACACACATATATATATATATATATATCTCAAAGTTTCTTCTTTTAATTGTAATTTAGGTTCTGAGGTACACATGCAGATCATGCAGGATTGTTGCATAGGTACATACATGGCAACGTGGTTTGCTGCCTCCATCCCCTCGTCACCTACATTTGGCATTTCTCCCAATGTTATCCCTCCCCGACCTCCTCACTTAGCCACTGTCCCTCCCTTAGCCCCCTGCAACAGACCCCAGTGTGTGATGCTCTCCTCCCTGTGTCTATGTGTTCTCATTGTTCATTACCCGCCTATGAGTCAGAACATGCGGTGTTTGATTTTCTGTTCTTGTGTCAGTTTGCTGAGAATGATGGTTTCCATATTCATCCATGTCCCTACAAAGGACACAAACTCAGCATTTTTTATGGCTGCATAGTTTTCCATGGTGTATATGTGCCACATTTTCCTTGTCCAGTCTATTGTCAATGGGCATTTGGGTTGGTTCCAAGTCTTTACTGTTGTAAACAGTGCCACAATGAACATAATTGTGCATGTGTCTTTATAATAGAATGATTTGTAATCCTTTGGCTATATACCCAGTAATGGGATTGCTGGGTGAAATGGAATTTCTATTTCTAGGTCCTTGAGTAATTGCCACACTGTCTTCCACAATGGTTGAACTAGTTTACACTCCCACCAACAGTGTAAAAGTGTTCCTGTTTCTCCACATACTCTCCAGCACCTGTCGTCTCCAGATTTTTTGATGATTACCATTCTAACTGGCATGAGATGGTTTGTCAATGTGGTTTTGATTTGCATTTCTCTAATGACCAGTGATGATGAGCATTTTTTCATATGTTTGTTGGCCTCATGTATGTCTTCTTTTGTAAAGTGTTCATATCCTTCACCCACTTTTGGATGGGTTTGTTTGTCTTTTTCTTGTAAATCTGTTTTAATTCTTTGTAGATTCTGGATATTAGCCCTTTGTCAGAAGGGTAGATTGCAAATATTTTTTCCCATTCTGTTGGTTGCTGGTTCACTCTAATGATTGTTTCTTTTGCTTTGCAGAAGCTCTGGAGTTTAATTAGCTCCATTTGTCTATTTTGACTTTTGTTGCCATGCTTTTGGTATTTTAGTCATGAAGTCCTTGCCTATGCCTATGTCCTATATGGTTTTGCCTAGGTTTTCTTCTAGAGTTTTTATGGTGTTAGGTCTTATATTTAAATCTTTAATCCATCTGGAGTTAATTTTAGTGTTAGGTGTTGGAAGGGGTCCAGTTTCTGCTTTCTGCAAACTGCTAGCCAGTTTTCCCAACACCATTTATTAAACAGGGAATCCTTTCCCCATTGCTTGTTTTTGTGAGGTTTGTCAAAGATCAGGTTGTTGCAGATGTGTGGTGTTGCCTCTGATGCCTCTGTTCTGTTCCATTGGTCTATATCTCTGTTTCGGTACCAGTACCATGATGTTTTGATTACTGTAACCTTGTAGTATAGTGTGAAATCAGGTAGCATGATGACTCCAGCTTTGTTCTTTTTGCTTAGGATTGTCTTGGCTATGCGGGCTCTCATTTGATTCCATATGAAGTTTAAGGTGGTTTTTTCCACTTCTGTGAAGAAGGTCACTGGTCGCTTGATGGGGATAACATTGAATCTATAAATTACTTTGGGCAGTATAGCCATTTTCACGATATTGATTCTTCCTAACCATGAGCATGGACTGTTTCTCCATCTGTTTGTGTCCTCTCTAATTTCCTTGAGCAGTGGTTTATAGCTCTCCTTGAAGAGGTCTTTTACATCCTTTGTTAGTTGTATTCCTAGGTATTTTATTCTCTTTGTAGCAGTTGTGACTGGAAGTTTGCTCATGATTTGGCTCTCTATTAGTCTGCTATTGGTGTATAGAAATGCTTGTGATTTTTTGCACATTGATTTTGTATCCTGAGACTTTGCTGAAGTTGTTGATCAGTTTCGGGAGATTTTGGGCTGAGATGATAGGGTCTTCTAAATATACAATCATGTCATCTGCAAATAGAGACAATTTGACTTTCTCTTTTCCTAATTGAATACCTTTTTTTTTTGCTTGCCTAATTGCTCTGGCTAGAACTTCCAATACTATATTGAATAGGAGTGGTGAGAGAGGGCATCCTTGTCTAGTGCCTGGATTTCAAAGGGAATGCTTCCAATTTTTGCCCATTCAGTATGATATTGGCTGTAGTTTTGTTGTAAATAGTTTTTACTGTTTTGAGATATGTTCCTTTGATACCTAGTTTATTAAGAGTTTTTAGCATAAAGGCTGTTCAATTTTGTCGAAGGCCTCCTCTGCGTCTACTGAGGTGACCATGTGGTTTTTGTCTTTGGTTCTGTTTATGTAATGGATTATGTTTATAGACTTGCGTGTGTTGAACCAGACTTGCATTCCTGTAATGAAGCCTACTTGCTTGTGATGGATAAGCTTTTTCATGTGCTGTTGCAATGGTTTGCCAGTATTTAACCAAAGATTTTTGTGTCTATGTTCATCATGGATACTGGCCTGAAGTTTTTTTTTTTTTTTGTTGTTGAGTCTCTGCTGGGTTTTGGTATTAGGATGATGTTGGTGTTATAAAATGATTTGGGAAGTATTCCCTTTTTTTGTATTGTTTGGAATCATTTCAGAAGGAATGGTACCAGCTCCTCTTTGTACGTCTGGTAGAATGCAGCTGTGAACCTGTCTGGACCTGGACTTTTTTTGGTTGGTAGGCTATTAATTGCTGCCTCAACTTCAGCCCTTGCTATTGGTCTATTCACGGTTTCAACTTCTTCCTGGTTTAGGCTTGGGAGGGTGCAAGTGTCCAGGAATTTATCCATTTCTTCCAGGCTTACTGGTTTTTGTGCATAGAGTTGTTTGTAGTAATCTCTGATTGTAGTTTATTTCTGTGGAATCAGTGTATTACTACAGTTTCTTTATCCATTCATTGATTGATGGGTATTTGAATTGGTTTCATGTTTTTGCAATTGTGAAGTGCTGCTGTAAATATGCGTGTGAAATATATCTTTTTCGTATAATGACAGCTTTTCCTCTTTTCCTTTGGTAGATACCCAGTAATGGGATTGCTAGACGAAATGATAGCTCTATTTTTAGTTCCTTAGGGAATCTCCACACTGTTTTCCATAGTGGTTGTACTAGTTTACATTCCCACCAGCAGTGCAGAAGTGTTTCTTGTTCACTGCATCCATGCCAGCATCTATTTTTTTATTATAGCCATTCTTGCAGGAGTAAGGTGGTATCACATTGTGGTTTTGATTTACATTTCCCTGATACGATATTGAACATTTTTTCATGTTTGTTGGCCATTAGTGTTTCATCTTTTGAGAATTGACTATTTATGTCCTTAGCCCACTTTTTGATGGGATTGCTCGTTTTTTTTTGAGAGCTTGTTTGGAGGTTCTAGCAGGGGAGTGCAGCTACTCACATACCCTTGACTGAAGACTGGTCCTCCTCTATCGGGGATGGTGGTCCTCTTCAACTGAGCATGCAGTTTCGGGAGGGATGCACATGGAGTGGTGAGGGAGGAAGGGGATACCCGCCTAGCCAGCCAGATCAGCTGAATCAACCCTGGCGATCAATGGGGTGACAGATGTCACAGCCAGGTCGCCCTCAAATCCGCTTGTTTTTTTATCCTCCTGATTTGTTTGAGTTTGTTGTAGATTCTGGATATTAGTCTTTTGTCACATGTATAGATTGTGAAGATTTTCTTTTACTCTGTGGGTTGTCTGTTTACTCTGCTAACTATTCCTTTGGCCAGTCAAACACTCTTTAGTTAAGTCCCATATGTTTATCTCTGTTTTTTGTTGCATTTCCTTGTGGGTTCTTCCTCATGAAATCCTTGCCTATGCCAGTGTCTAGAAGGATTTTTCCAATGTTATCTTCTAGAATTTTTGTAGTATCAGGTCTTAGATTTAAGTCCTTAATGTTTTGTTAAAGATTTTAGCATCTGTGTTTATCAAGGTTATTGGTCTGTAGTTTTCTTTTTTGGTTATGTCCTTTTCTGGTTTTAGTATTAGGGTGATACTGGCTTCATAGAATGATTTAGAGAGCATTCCTTCTTTCTCTAGCTTGTGGAATAGTGTCAATAGGATTGCTAACAATTCTTCTTTGAATGTCTGGAAGAATTCTGCTATAAATCCATCTGGTCCTGGACTTTCTTTTTTTGGCAATTTAAAAATTACCATTTCAATCTCGCTGCTTGTTATTGGTCTATTAAGTTTATCTAATTATTCCTGATTTAAGCTAAGGGGGTTGTATCTTTACAGGACTTTATCCATCTCTTCTAGACTTTCTAGTTTATGTTTCTAAAGGTGTTCATAGCAGCCTTGAATCATCTTTTATATTTCAGTGGTGTCAGTAGTAATATCCCCTGTTTTGTTTCTTATTAAGTTCATTTAGATTTTCTCTCTGCTTTTCTTGGTTAATCTTGTTAATGATCTGTCAATTTTATTTATCTTTTCAAAGAACCAGCTTTTTGTTTCGTGTATCTTTTGTATATATATTTTTTGTTTCAGTTTCATTTAGTTCTGCTCTGATCTTGGTTATTTCTTTTGATGTTCTGGATTTGGGTTTAGTTTGTTCTTCTTTCTTGTTTCTTGGGGTGTGACTTTAGATTGTCTGTATTCTCTCAGACTTTTTGATGTAGGTGTTTAAGGCTATGAATATTCCTTTTAGCACCGCCTTTGCTATATCCCAGAGGTTTTGATAGATTGTGTAATTATTGTTGTTCATTTCAAACAATTTTAAAATTTCTATCTTGATTTCATTTTTGACCCAGTGATCATTCAGGAGCAGGTTGTTTCCATGTATTTGCATGGTTTTGAAGGTTTCTTTTGGAGTTGATTTCCATTTTTACTCCATTGTGGTCTGAGAGAGTGCTTGGTATAATTTCTGTTTTCTTAAATTTATTGAGGCTCATTTTGTGACTTATCATATGGTCTATCTTGGAGAAAGTTTCATGTGCTGTTGAATAGAATGTATATTCTGTGGTTGTTGGATGGAATGTTCTGTATGTGTCTGTCAAGCCCATTTGTTCCAGGGTATAGTTTAAATCCATTGTTTCTTTGTTGACTTTCTGTCTTGATGACCTGTGTAGACCTGTAAGTGGAGTATTAAAGGCCCCCACTATTACTGTATTGCTGTCTATCTCATTTCTTAGGTCTTTTAGTAATTGTTTTGTAAATTTGGGAGCTCCAGTGTTAGTGCACATATGTTTAGGATTATGATATTTCCTGTTGGACAAGGCCTTTTATTATTATGTAATGTCCCTCTTTGTCTTTTTAAACTGATGTTGCTTTGAAGTTTTTTTTTGTCTAAGAATAGCTACTCCTGCTTGCTTTTGGTGTCCTTTTGCATGAAATATCTTTTTCCATCCCTTTACCTTAAGTTTCTGTGAGTCCATATGTGTTAGGTGACTCTGTTGAAGGCAGCAGATGGTTGGTGAATTCTTACTCATTCTGCAGTTCCGTATCTTTGAAGGGGAGGATTTAGGCTGTTTTTATTCAAAGTTAAAATTGAGATGTGAGGTACCATTTACTCATTGTGCTCTTTGTTGCCTGTATACCTTGTTTTTCATCGTTTTTGTTTTTTTAATTATATTTTTTGTTTTATAGGTCCTGTAAGATTTATGCTTTAAAGAGGTTCTGTTTTGATGTGTTTCCAGGATTTATTTCAAGATTTAGGGTTCCTTTTAGCAGTTCTTGTAGTGGTGCCTTGGTAGTGGCAAATTCTCTCAGCATTTGTTTGTCTGAAAAAGACTATCTTTCCTTCATACATGAAGCTTAGTCTTGCTGGAAACAAAATTCTTGGATGGTAAGTGTTTTGTTTGAGGAGGCTGAAGATAAGGCCCCAGTCCCTTTTAGCTTGTAGCGTGTCTGCTGAGAAATCTGCTGCTAATCTGGTAGGCTGTCTTTAAAGGCTACCAGTGCTTTTGTTGCACAGCTCTTAAGATTCTTTCCTTCATCTTAACTTTGGATAACTTGATGACAGTGTGCCTAGGCGATGATCTTTTTGCAATTAATTTCTCAGATGTTCTTTGTGCTTCTTTTATTTGGATGTCCAGGTCTCTAGCAAGGCTGGGGAAGTTTTCTTCAATTTTACCCCAGATATATTTTCCAAACTTTTAGATTTCTCTTCCTCAGGAACACCAATTATTCTTAGGTTTGGTCGTTTAACATACTTCTAGACTTCTTGGAGTCTTTGTTCATATTTTCAGATATTTTTTTCTTTGTCTTTGTTGGATTGGATTTTTTTTTTTTTCCTGCTTCTGTATGTGGTTCTTTTTCTGGATTGGATTATTTTGAAGACCTTGTCTTCAAGTTCTGAATTTCTTTCTTTTACTTGTTCGATTCTGTTGCTGAGATTTTTCCAGGGCATTTTGCATTTTTGTAAGTGTGTTCATTGTTTCCTGAAGTTTTTATTGTTTTATATTTATGCTATCTTTCATTGAATATTTCTCCTTTCACTTCTTGTATCTTTTTAAATTTCCTTACATTGGGCTTTGCCTTTCCCTGTTGCCTCCCTGATAAGCTCAGTAAGTAACCTCCTACATTCTTTTTCAGGTAAATTAGAGATTTCTTCTTGGTTTGGATTCATTGCTGGAGAGCTAGTGTGATTTTTTTGGGGGGAGTTAAAGAACACTGTTTTGTCATATTACCAGAGTTCATTATCTGGTTCCTTATTATTTGGATAGGCTCTGACAGAGGGAAGGTCTAGGGCTAAAGGCTGTTGTTCACATTCTTTTGTCCCAACTGGTGTTCTCTTGATGTAGTACTCTCCCTGTTTTTCTATGAATGTGGCTTCCTGAGAGCCAAGCTGCAGTGATTGCTATTTCTCTTCTAGATCTAGTCACCTATCAAGTCTGCCAGGCTCTGTGCTGGTACTGGGGGTTGTCTGCACAGAGTCGTGTGATGTGAACTGTCTGTGGGTCTTTTAGCCATAGATACCAGCATCTGTTCGAGTGGAGGTGGCAGGGTGGTGAAATGAACTCTGTGAGGGTTCTTAGCTTTGGTGGTTTAATGCACTATTTTTGTGCCAGTTGGCCTTCTGCCGGAAGGTGACGCTTTCCAGAGAGCATCAGCTGTGGTTCCATGGGGAGGAACAGGCAGTGGGCAGGGCCATAATGCTTTCAAGAGTATATGCTCTTTGTCTTTAGTTGTCAGGGAGGTAGGAAAGGACCACTGGGTCAGGGCAGGTCTAGGTGTCTCTGAGCTCAAGACTATCCTTGGGGGGGTCTTGCTGAGGCTGCTATGGGGGATGGAAGTGAGGTTCCCAGGTCAATGGAATTATATTGCCAGGAGGATGATGGCTGTATCTACTGTGTCATGCAGGTTGTCAAGGAAGTGGGGAAAAGCTGGCAGTCACAGGCCTCACCCATCTCCCATGCAATCTGAAGGGCTGATCTCACTCCCACCAGAACCCCCACCCCCACCAATAGCACTGAGTCTGTTTCCAGGCAGTGGGTAAGCAGAACTGAGTGATTGCCCCAGGCTACCCACTTTCTAGCTGTGAAAGCAAGTATGGCTTTCCTTCTTCCCCCACCTGTGGAGTCTGCACACAGGATTCATGCCCTCCTGCAATTTCTGGCCAGGAGACTTCTCAATCAGTTCAAATTGTTACAAAGTTAAGCTGGAGATTTCCTTCTCCCTGTGACCTTTGCCCAGTGCCTCTGGCCACCTTCCTGAAGGATCCCTGTGAAGCCAGGCAGAAATGCCTTGCTAGGGGACCCAGCAAGCTCACAGGGCTTTCCCCACTGCTTCGTCTATCCCTGTATTTTGCTTGGCTCTCTAAATTGACTCAGCTCCCAGTAAGGTCAGAATCTTCTCCTGTAATCTAGACCAGTTTCCCCAGTGGGGCTGTGTGTTTGGAGATGAATGGTCTCCCTTTTCCACTTCCACAGTTTGGGCGTTCACAGTATTTGGGGTGTCTCCTGGGTCCTGCAGAAGCAATCTGCTTCCTTCAGAGTGAGTCCTCTCAGGTTTCTTGATTTATTCCTGCAGTTGTTCTGGAGCAAAAATTTATAGTGTGAGCCTCCACATGCTTCTCTGTCCATCTGAGTCGGAGCTGCAATCTAGTCTACCATGATCCTCTGTGATCTGAGCTTCTAATTTCCCTTGTTGCTCTAGTTTTCTTGTGATGAGATCAGGGCCTTTTTGCAAAGATAGAAATACAGCAACATCAACCTACTGTTTCTTTTATAATCCAGTTAGCAAGAGGGTAATTGTGCATGAAAACCAGTAAAAAGAAAAGAGTTACCAAAGACATTACACACCTATTTTTTTCTTATAATTTAGATATATTTTTTAGTTGTTGTGATGATAATTCGTACTGAATTTTATTTACTAAGATTGTTACACATGGTTAGAGTTACATTTAACTTGAAACCTGCAAATTAACTGAAGGAGCTAAAGTATAAATTGTAATTCAGTGATTGTAGACATTTGTAAGTCTTGTTTAGCAAATTCCTTTCACTTGAAGGTTAAAGTGGGGCAGAGATAACAAAATAAGAAAGGTGCAAGAAAAATTAACAAAAGCTTGACAAAATATTTTGGGATTAAGCAAGATTAAGCAGGAAGATATTCAATAGAGAACTTTGTAAACTATAAACCATCACAAATATTTATTGTAAGAAAGTATGAAAGAAAAATTCATTGTGTGATCATTTGTTATTTGCATGACTGAGGCAGTCAGGAATGATACTCTTTAATGATTAAAAGTGGTATCTTTTTGATGTAGAGGCTATACACATGGTGAATAGAAGTTCACGTGATTGTTATTATTTTTTTTTGCTTTGTAAATACTAATAAAATTTTTGGCATACTTGTAAGCCAGCTAGTCCATCAAACAAACTTAATGCACTTTATAGAACATTACAAGGGTACTGAACCAGGTACTGAAAATAAGCCAGTTAAAATAGAAATGGACACTGTATTTCTGCCTTTTAATAGTTAGCAATTTAAGAAGAGAAGCCAGAAACAAAGCCCTCAAAATGAGTATAAAAGGTCATACACTAACAATCACCTAGCCAACTCTTGGCATTCAAAATAACACATTTAATTCTGTAAAAATAATCATTTAAAACGTCTCCTTAGTGCCACTTTGGCCCTCTCCCTTGTCAATAATATCTGACCGTCTCTGTATTCAATTCATAGTCCCTACATTATGTCAGATTTCTTTATCTATTTTCTTGTCCATGCAGATTATTGTGTCTACTCTGAGGGTGCTGTCATTCAATCTTAATATATTACTCCTGAGTACCTATAGTTGGATATTGCAGTGATTTTAGAAAGAAATAGCTTACTAGGATTTGAGAACAATAAAATACCTTCTAGAGCAGTAAAGCAGAAGTTTTGTGTCTATTTATTTTGTTTTGTCTTTCACTTGCTGTTTTGTTAACAAGTTTATTTATAGTTGTAGCTTAAAAACTACAGCGTTTCTTGAAATAAATTATTGTATCTTATTTACTGTTTATACATAATCATAAAAAATTCAATGGCAGATTGTTGATTTCAGGAATAAAATTTGAAAGCTAATTCTACCTAATTTTGATCAGTTTGCTTCCCTGTGTGTTCATATTTTTATATGCTTATAATTGGCTTGATTTGCTGAACTGAAATTCCCTTTATTTTAACAAAGATTATGATAAATGAGGTTTAAGTCTTCTTAAAATTACAGAATATTCTTTCTCCCTAGGTTCTTCACTCCAGAATAATCTGATTTTTTTTTCTCTAACTTGTTTATGGTCCCTAGAAAATTATTATGCCAAATGAAAAGTGACTCTTTCTTTCCAAGTGAAAGGGGAAAATACAATAATGTTATGGCTATGAAAAAGTAGGGTGTTTTTAAAACATTTTTGGAGGAGGTAAGTCTGTGTTCTTCAACACTGAGAGCTGAGGGATTGCCAACTGAAGTGTGTTTAATTGATCTGCCTAACACAAAAAATACGTTTCTCTGACAAAGTGTTAATAAACTCTCTCTAGCAGTTGTAGGCTTCTTTCAAGATCTTGCCGTTTGTTTTTGAAGTAAGAAAATTTATGGAAAACTATTATAAGGTTCTAATTGAATTTCACAGAAATAGCCCTGGTATGACCCAAAATGGAAGAAAAAAACCTAGCCCACAACACCCCATGCCATGAAGCAACTCTGTGCAGAATCATTGACTAAGGATGTGAAGTGGAAAAGAGAGGCTGACTCTCAAATAATTAGCCTCGGTTAACGAAGACTTTTAAGATATGGCAAGTTGATGTTGATAACTTCTGTGGGACATAGGGAGATGATGAAAAAGACTGGCAGCTATAAAAGAGAAGTGTTTATTAAAACACCTTTTAAATAGCCTGGGGATATAATAAAAAGCCATCTTTAAAGGAACTTATTAAAATAAAACCTAGATGGAACTGATAATTTCACCACCTGCAGCTTTCACAGAACTTTTTTGGCTTTTGTGAAAGCTTTTATAGACTTCATGAAAATCTTAACATAGAGTATCTAGATTTTGCACTCTTTATTTTGGTGAACCGTATTAAAAGAGGTTTGTGGTGCATTCTAACAGGAAAGTTTCTATATTTAAGCAAACAATGATACATGTAAAAAACTTTTCTTCTCAACATGACCGGTGATTAAGGGGTGGATACATAGACACCTTATCCTACAGATAGTAAAGTCATTTTTCTTGTGAGTTTATTAGTTTATAGAAAGCTTCCCATTTATTGTCTCTTGATCTTCAAAGTAAGCCAATAGGGCATGGCAAGCAGGTAATGGGATTCTTAATATGGATAAAGTGAGGCTAAGAGGTGAAGAGATTTGCACACGGAGTTACAAAGGTCACACTATATTTATAGAGGGAGAATGGGAATATAAACTCAATATTTGAACTATAAGGTTAATACTATTTCTATTACCTTTTAGGAATGTCATGAGGGTCAAATGAAATAATGTGCATGGCCCTTAGCCCAGGCTCTTTTACATGCTAAGTGCTCAGTACATCTTAGCTATTGTTATCACTACTATTGTTATTGGACAATGACTCTTTGCATATGAAAAACACCATTCAAATCTCTACACATTTAACTAGAAAGTTGTGGTATAGATAAAACCTTTCATAGGTAATAGAACCACCAACAGTATTTGGGTTCCTCAACAAAGAAATTTGACAAATAACCAGCTCTGTTTCTCTCCAAGCTTCTCTGTAATACTTCATTGGCTTTGTTAGGTCAAAATCAGACACTTGAAGAGAAGATATTCAGTATACCTCAAAATCCTCAACATTTGACTTCCCTTAGGCTCTTCTCTTTCAGATCTGTCATCATTCAAGGGCTTCAGGGCTTTGGGGAGATACACAACTTAGTCTTCATAGTACTATGGGATTGTTGCATTGTCACAGTTGTGTCTCCCAGATGGTGTCTGTCACTGCTGACCTACTGTCTGCTGTTCGCTATATAATATATGATTGTCCGTAGTTTTGAGTCCTGGGAAAGAGGCTGACGTTTCTTTAGAGTCCTTGGACTTAGAGATGGAGCATGAACTGAACAGTACTATTCTGTGATAGTAAGTGGTATGGATGATAGTGGTAGGCTGGCTTTTGCCTTGGAAACTGACCGGCACTAAGCTGTGGATGTATCTGACATAAGCCAAGCCTCAGTTCTTAAAGGACCAAAGGTATAGAAGAGGCAGCCCTTGCTAGCTCATTAGCACAGATGGTTGCTATAAACAAGAAGTTAGATTGCTAAAATTCATTTACATATGCTTTAGGTTGGAATGAGACATCATGACTGAAAAAAAATTGTCAATTTCTTGTTTTTATATCATGTTGAAATAATGATCACTGACTATTTTTAATAATCAGACTTGAGAAAACTACTACAACAAACAAGTGTCTAGATTTCCTATTATTTTCCCTGATTTGAGCATTGGAATTCTGATGATAGGGTCTATGGGAGGTAGGCACAGTTGTCACCAGGGTCCCGGGAATCCTGAGAGAGAAAAACAGAAAAGAGGAGGCCAGGAGTGGCCTATTTGAAATATACAAGCAGAATGGCACAGATCGTCATAGAAACAAAAAGAACAAAAGAGGACAGGAATGCAGGTTTTCCTTCTTTGGTTTTATAAAATTATATCGGTTTCACTATTATGACCTCAAAATGAAATCCAAGCTTTCCCTAGGGAGCAGAGACAGGCCAGAAAAAATTATTTGGGAGCTTCAGGCCTATTAACTCAAGATAGGATGAAGAAAGGAAAGTGCTTGGCATTATTTTTAACTAGAACAAGCATTACCTAAGCTGGAAAGACATTTGTTTCAAGTCATTTCATTGTTCTAAGCCTTGGCATGTATTCCCTTGTTCCAAAATACTGGAAATATGTATTATTGAAAATGAATATTTCTAGTCAAAATTAGAATTTAATGTGTAAGCTGAGAATGTGTAAGCACTGGTGGGAAATCTCCTTTGACCAATAACATACCTGTTTCCTTATTAAAGAAGAAGTCATTTTTAGCTCTTCTCATATTTTAAAACACATTTTCTGATTCTGTTAATGGATTCAGGTTTCAGAGGCATTCTATAATTTGTGGAGCTGATGGTGAATAGTAGGGATTTCCCTATCCAGTAACTGTTGAAGTGTTTTAATCATGGCTCTGGGAAAGTCACCCTGGTTGTGGAGTTTTTCATAAAGATCTGATCCTCATCAATCACTTTTAATGAAAACCTTCCCCAAATCACCACATATCACCAATGAGTCTTTACTTAGCGTCCATTTGCAAATAAATCTGCACTGGATAGTTTTCAAATAGGTTAAGCAGTCGTGGTTCATGCTGCCTACTGGAAATTTACAGGTAACAGAGTCTGGGATAAAAGGAAAAAAACACCCCGAGACAATTTTTATGCAAAGACAGATGATACCTTTATTGGCAGCCTTAAGATTGGACCTGAAATGCTGTGGCCTTTAAAATTTAAATGGCATATGCAGACTCAGGTGCTGCAGGCACACTAACAGAGACCATCTTACATTCTCAGATAAATGCTTGGGAGCCTGCCTCTTGCCTGCTGTCACTTTAGGGTATGTGGCAAGTGGCAAGTAGGGCAAGAAAACCAAAAGAAACCATAAAGGCTGCACATCCTAGGGCTTGCAGGGTGTTATTTCTGTTAGCTGTGGCAGGCATACTCATGATAAGCATTTCTAAAGATTTTAGCCATAGAGGTGAAGAATTTATGAGAGCAAGCTCTGAATCTTTTGCCTTGTCCCAAAATGTGTGGGCATCTGGTGGCTGAATAATCAATTCCACTCATCACCTTCCACCTTGGCTACTTAGTGAGAAAAAATGAGGTTTTGGTAATGGGGTAAGCATGGCAGAATCTAAGTTTTGTAGAGCGTTCAGTTAATTATTTTGGAGTTCTCTTTAAGAAAAAGAGTCTGAAGTATGTTGCTTTTGCAAAATTAAAAAATGAATTATGTGAAAACATTATAGGGCCCCTCCCAGGCTTTGGTCAGGACGGAGGTGAAGAAAGGACACTGATATTCACATTGTATTGTCTCTGTGGTAAAGCTTGCCCTGCTTCTGGTGTGTTTGGGAAGGAGAAGGTATGAAGACAATTTTTCTGCTAATCAACACTTTAGGATCTCAGTGTAAGCTGTTGATTCATTCATTCATTTGGTTTTTACTAAATTCTAACTGGTGAAATGAATCACTATTTTGTCATCACCACTTGGGAGTCTTGAAGCATAGGTTACCTTTTTTTGTTTTCTGAGAGGAGTCCTTTGCAATAGCAATAGTAGAATGGAAATAAAATGGCTTAGAAAAAAAAATCATGAAATATCCCTTGATTGTAAGTTTTTTATAGGTCACAA